GGGGAGTGCTCTTTGGAACAGCACCTGGAAGGAATCGAAGGCAGCAGGACCGGGTAGTGAGAGAAGCTGAACTTCAATGTAGTTACAACAGATACTTCAGCTCTGGGGCTGGGCGATCCTTCAGGTTGTTCCAAATTGCGGTAAGGAGGCTTGTCCTCATGCCCCCATGCGGGCTACAGGCTGCCCCGGAAGGGGGCTCATCCTGGGCAAGGCAGCTCCCTTCAGTAAGAGCAGTTTCCTGAGAGGAACTCAGCTGTCGCTCAGCAGCCGATGTTCCCAGCAACCCTGGTATTAGTGCTGGGTCCTGAGGGCTGGGACCGGGGGGATGCCCACAGCATCGCAGGCACATTTTAACTAAATAGATTTTGCTCAAGTGTTTTTCAAGTTGCTTGTGTCAGCTTCTGCTCCCCATTGCACTGTGAGAATTTATATTGCTATTCTTCCATTCCACATTTTCCATCTTGGTTTTCCTGGATTATTTTCTGGGTAATTTCTCCGGTCTTTCTTGATGTGCAAAAATGATCTCTTTGGCTGCTTCTAATCTGTTTTTTTAAATATTATTTTTGTTAATTCTCATTCAAGGACATCTCCCCCCCCCCACCTCCCACACATACACGGACTTTTATTTATTTCTTTTTAAATATATTTTTTATTGATTTCAGAGAGGAAGGAAGAGGGAGAGAGAGATAGAAACATCAATGATGAGAGAGAATCATTGATTGGCTGCCTCCTACATCCCCTACTGGAGATTGAGCCCACAACCTGGGCATGTGCCCTTAACGGATTGAACCCATGATCCCTCAGTCTGCAGGCTGACGCTCTATCCACTGAGCCAAACCAGCTAGGGCTACACGCACTGACTTTTAGAGAGAGTGGGAGGAAGGGGAGGGGGAGAGAGAGAGAAACATGGATCTGAAAGACACATCTACTGGTTGCCTCCTGCACTCACCCCCACCAGGGCCAGGGATCAAACCTGCAACCCAGATATGTGCCCTTGACTGGGAATCAAACTGGTGACCCTTAGGTATGCAGGACAATGCTCTAACCACTGAGCACACCAGCCATGGCTAATCTGTTTTTTTAAAATCCTCATCTGAAGATGTTTTTATTGATTTTTTTATTTTTGGGGGGTGGGGGGAGAGAGAGGGAGGAAGGGAGAGAAAGAGAGAGAAACATCAACTGGTTGTCTCCCAACCAGGGATCAAACCCAAAACTTGTACCCTGACTGGAAATTGAACTCACCACTTTGCAGTGTATGGGACGACACTCCGACCACTGAGCCCCCAGGCCAGGCTGCAATCTGCTTCTTCTTCTTCTTTTTTTAAAAAATATATTTTATTGATTTTTTACAGAGAGGAAGGGAGAGGGATAGAGTTAGAAACATCGATTAGCTGCCTCCTGCACACTCCTTACTGGGAATGTGCCCGCAACCAAGGTACATGCCCTTGACCAGAATCAAACCTGGGACCAGTCCGCAGGCCAACGCTCTATCCACTGAGCCAAACCGGTCAGGCTGAATCTGCTTCTTAAAGCTCCCCCCCCCGACCCCCAAGGATACTGCCAGCCTGGAGCCCCTTTCTTTTCTCTCCCTCCCTCCCCTTCCTTCCTCTTGTTCTTTAATTTTTATTTCAGAGAATTTTATAAAATTATTGCAACAATAGTATCTTCTAATTCTCTTAAAGTTTTTTCTTCTTTTTTAGTCTAAATATTTGATTCATTTGTCTTGTGCAGCATTAAAAATAGACCAGGTGCCCAGCTAGCATAGTTCAGTGATTGAGCGTTGACTTATGAACCAAGAGGTCATGGTTCAATTCCCATCAGGGCACATGCCAGGGCTGTGGGCTCAGTCCCCAGTGTGGGGCATGCAGTAGGCAGGCAATCAATGATTCTCTCTCATAATTGATGTTTCTGTCTCTCTCTCTCCCTCTCTGATCAATAACAATATATTAAAAAACAACAACCAGGCGACCAACTATGATCCCCAAGGTTTTGTTCATGGGTAAAAAGCAGAGAGCCTAAGGCCCTGGACGGTGTGCGCTGGCCATGCCCTTCCCAAGGCCTGGACGGGGCACGCCAGCCATGCCCTTCCCAAGGCCTGGACGGGGCACGCCGGCCATGCCCTTCCCAAGGCCTGGACGGGGCACGCCGGCCATGCCCTTCCCAAGGCCTGGATGGGGCAGTGCTGGCCATGCCCTTCCCAAGGCCTGGACGGGGCGGTGCTGGCCATGCCACCTGCTGGCTGAGTGAGCCAGGCACACTCCCTGCTCTCATCGCGCTTCCTCATCTGGAAAACAGCAGGAGTCATATTCGCCTCAGAGGGTTGTGGTGAGGATGAAAATTGCACAATGCCCGGCACAGAACGGAAGCTTAATGAAGAACATCCCTAGTGATAGTGACGGGGCCGGAGTGACACGGGGCTCTCCCTTGGCAGCACCCGAAGCCGGGAACAGAACACTGGGTCGGAGACTGAGCTGCACCTCTGGATGCGCAAAGTCTAGTTGATTGGTGTCCTGTACTCTTACCTCGGTAGCATCAGGGGGAGGATTGGCCTTTTGCAACTGAGCCACAGTCCTCATCGATTGTCTCCCCCCCGATGGTGTAGGAGGATAGGAGGTGAGAATAATAAGCCAAGCAAACGAGACGACATCGTGAACCAGGTGCTTAATTTCAGGGACGCCCCTTCCAAGCCTTCCTCCTCCCCCCTCCTACTCCTGTGCCTGTCACTCCCAGCGGAGATGAGTCACATGGCTCTGGCCAGCTGGCCAGCCTGACACAGGGAGGCAAGTGCGAGATGACTACCACCCTAACCTGAGGGCTGGCTGGGATCGCTCCTCTCTGGCCGGGGGTGTACTTTATGCTCATTATCCGCTGGCCCTTGCCCTTCCCCTGCTTCTCTATGCTACAGGGACTAGGGTCCTGCAAACCACACCCTTAGCTTCCATTACAGCTGCTTTTCCCTCCCCCACCCTCCTCTTGGCTGACCAGGGCCTGGTCAACAGGCTGGAAGACAGGAAGAAGGGACTGTCCCTCCCTGCCAAACGGACGGCCTTCTGGCAGGAGCAGCTGAGTTCCAGCTGTGACTTCCCCTCCACACGCACCCCAAAATCCCTGCAGGGAGGGACGGCACCTTCTCAGTCCCCTACAACCCTAGACGACTGACAAGTGGCGAGCAGAGGGGGTGAGAGGGAGCTCCACAAGCCAGGCCCTGCTAGCACCCCGAAGTCTCATTGGCCAACTGTTTCCTTCCTCTCTGTGCACCAGATATGGAGGAGGGGGAGCAGATCAGCCCCCAGGAAAAACACACAGAGAACTGAGTCAGCCCAAGTCAACTCTTAAATACTTAATTCCCATTTATTTAAAGTTCCATCAGTCTGTGTACACTATTTATATTAAAAACACAGGAAACTGGGGCTCCTAGCAAAAATATACATTTCCATTTTGGAGATTGTTCAGACACTGAGAAGAGCTGTGTTCTCAGGGCGGGTGGGGGGTGGGGAGGCGGAGGTTGGGCACAGCCTCTCCCTCACAGTGCTGGCCCAAGGGCGCCCCCTTGGCCAAACCTCGGTCAGTGAAGGTAGGAGGGGAGAGGGAAGCCAGTAGGGAGTGGTCCTGGGCATGGAAGGCCACCGCACTGGCAGGGCAGGCACTGGCTGTGTCCTCTCTCCAGGGCATTCCCTCCCAGAGCTGCAGCTGGACAGCAAGGCCCCTCCTGAAGGAGCAGACAGGACCAGGAAGCCTGGGCTCTGCACCAGGTTCTCTGAGACCCTAGCCAGCCTCCTCCCTGGCAGCAGCCTGGGCGCTGAGTGCCCCTGCGGAGGGGAGCGGGCAGGGGCCGGGGAGCGGGGTGGCCTGGCAAGGTCCTGGTCACCAGGGGCTGTGCAGGGTGTTCCAGGAGACCAGCTGGGCTGACACAGGGGAAGGGAGGGTAGCAGAGCTGTGGGCACAGATGGCTGTCTCCATCAACAGGACCAGTTTATCCCTGACACCTTCCCCGGGAGCAGGAGCTAGGCTGACACAGCAGGACGCTCCTGCTGACCTCGAGGGCACGCAAGGATGTGGCCAGCCCTGGAACCGAGCCCAGCCCTGCCCGTCCACCTGCAGGCCCCTCTGGGCATGCATCCGCCTAGAGAAGGGGGTGTGTGGAACCTGCAGATAAAGTGAAACAGTGCTTGTGGTGTGCAGCGGAGCGGCGGCTCCAGGAGTGTGTGGCATGAGCTGCAGTGAGCTCGAGCCAGTGCCAGTGCCTCCTGGGTGGAGATAGGACGTCATCGGGGGTGAGGCCAGTCCCGGCCCCGGGGAGAGGCAAGGGCTGTGATGCGGACAGAATATAGGTGGCGAGGCTGCTGCAGGCTGGGGGGAGGGTGGGTGCTGAAGGAGGGCAACCCTGAGGCCTGCTCACTGCTTCCCTGCCAACTTGCACCTCCCTGGAGGCTCACTCCTCTTCATGGGGGTGTGGGGCCCCCACCTGCAGGGAACCCAGCTCCTTCCAGGCTGGGGGGAGGTCCCACAGCGGCCAGCGCAGGGGGCCATCAGCAACACTGGCCCGGAAGACCAGTGAAAAGACCAAAAAGGATGTGGGTGTGAGTGGGGCTGGGGTACGTGGCTGAAGTGGGGTTGGCTGGGTCGGGGGTGCCAGCCTCAGGGTGGGGTGCGTGACAGTCTCAGGGAGGCATCCTGGCCTTCAGGGCAGGGACCCAGCGACCAAGGCCACTGCTGCGGTCGGCCCAGGTCCTGCTCGGCTTCCCCACGAAGCCAGGCCCAGAGCTTAGTGTTTCTTTGGGCAGCCCCAGCCTTGCTGCGAGCACGGAGCAGTGAGGCCCTGCCCCTGCACACGGCTGGTGCAGAGGGCAGGCCACTCCCTCTGCACGGGGGCAGGGGGCAAAAGCAGAAGTCCTGTCCTATGCTGCTGGTGAGATAATACCAACTGTCTCACAGGAAGACAGAGGGACAGAGGGACAGACAGGGGATGGGGGGAGAGGGAGGGCCAGGGAGGAAGGAAGAGGAACCCTTAGAATGGAAGAGAAAGAGCAAAGAACAAGGAACGGAGAAGGAGAGAGGGAGGAAGGGACCATGGGGAGCGAGGCGTGGGTCTGTTCGCAGGAGTGTGTGAGCAGGTGCCATGCTGAGGCGCCCGTGGCCAACGGGGAAGTCCCATGTGGCCCCTGTCCAGCGCTGTCCCTGCCCCTGGTTCTCGGCCCCGAGGCCTGCTGGGAGGCCCTGGCTGTGCACCTCAGTACATGTCCTTGTAGATCTCCTGGAGCAGGGGGTGCAGCGAGGTCTCCGTCTCTGTCTTCTTGATCCGCTGCATCATCTGGGCATGCTCGGTGACCAGCTGCCGCAGGTCAGCCATCTTCTGCAGCAGCTTGGGGAAGAGGTACTGGGCATCGGGGTGGTTGGCGTGCAGGTGGAACTCGAGGGCACGCAGGATGGTGTCCTGGATGGCCTCCACCTGGGACACGTTCATGAGGCCTGGCCGGTCTGTGGGGACACAGGGCCCAGGTGTGGGAGGGAGCAGGCACGCACGGGTCTCAGGTGGCGGAGGAGCACTGCTACCCACCCAGCGTGGGGGCCTGGCTCAGGGCACAGCAGGCCTCCTGGCCGTGACAGACCCGAGCCCCATCCTGCCAGGGACAGTCCCCCCTCCTTTGCTTTCCTGGCTCAGTTTAGTCTCATGGCTACTTGGCCTGGATGCACATCCCAGCTCTACCAGGCGAGCGGTGAGGCCTGGGCAAGTCGCTCAGCCTCTCTGGCGCGTTTCCTCACCTGCAAACTGGGGATAACGGAAGTACCTGTGCACAGGTGGCTGTGAGGACCAAATGACTTATAATTTGGGAAAGGGATCTAGAACAGGGCCTGGTAGGAAGTAAGCTCTATGCCAGTGTCAGCGCAGTAATTATTAGTTACTGTGTTGGAACTGAAAAGTATCAGTAAAATACAGAAGATTCTCCACCACCGAAAACAGCCCCATCCGCATGTTGGTATGCGTCCCTTTGTTCTTTTTCTCTCTCATCTCCATCTACCTAAGAAGGGGCAGGTCCTGCACGTACAGCGGTGCCTCACACGCTCCCGCCATCATCACACGCACACTTCCCCACGGCGTCGGACCTCGCTTACCTCCGCACAGAATGATGGCTGCGATGAAGAGAGCCAGGTCACTGTCGTCGAGTTCCAGGGCATTGAACTTGACAGCAAACTCGAACTTGGGCTCGATGATATCACTGAAGGGCTTGCGGAGGCTGCGCAGGAACTCCCGGGTGACAAAGCCCGTGCCGTTGGCCACCAGCAGCCCGTCCTTGTTGACAATGGAGGCCAGCATGGCGAAGATGGCCTCGTGCACTCCGTACTTGAGAAGGGTCACCTGGTCGTTGAGGAAGAGGTTGCCGAAGCTGGGGATGCTCTTGGCGAACTCGGTGAGCTCGCGCACCGTCTCCACCGTGGTGCACTGGCAGCGGTAGAAGACGTGCACACTGATCTCCTTGTAGGGCGGCAGGCCGTTCACCAGCTGCTTCCACACCAGGCCCTTCTCTGCCTGCCACAGCGTCTCGATGTCGTGGATCACAAAGGGCTGAAAACCAGGCCCCATTAGAGGCCAGGCCTCGGGGACCCCACATGTGCTCCCCACACTCCCTGCCTGTACCATGGAGTTAGGGGAGGGAGGAGGTGCAGTTCTCCCAGGAGTCTGGAGGGCGGCAGGGCCCCGAGCCAGGGCCGCCGCCGTGCGAGCAGTGGCACTCACCGCTGTGTGGCTGGTCTTGCCGGTGAGGATGCCGCGGGCCTTCCTCTTGGTCATGTTGAAGTTTTTCAGGTAGGCGTTGTAGATGTGCTTGGAGAAGGCCTTCAGGTCTGCCACCTGTGGGTTGTGCTGACTCCCCTCACTCGCCGTCAGCCCTGCCACCAGCTTCCTCTTCTCGGCCTCTGGCATCCGGCCAAAGCGGATGGCTGCATGGGGAGCAGGGGTGGGGGGCAGGAGTCATTGAGGAGTCCATGAAGGGCCAGCACCCCTCACCTCCTCATCCCTGCATGGGCCAAAGGCCTGAGGAGTTCTAGAGGCAGCCAGCTGGAATGTTGGGGGACCCTCCCGAATGTAAGCTCCCGGGGCAGGGGTCTGTCTGTCTGTCCTGTTCAGTGCCCACACACAAAGGCCCTAACTCGAGCGCCTTGCCGCGCAGCCAGGAGGGGTGCGGGGTGGCAGGTGGAAAGTCTGGTCAGCGGCCTGTGCCCGAGCCCCAGCTCTGCAGCTTACTCGCCTCGTGACTTCAGACGGCTGCTTCCTGCTTCGTCTTCTTTCTAATCAGAGAAGCAGGGCTGACGCTTAAAGCTCACTGACTGTCAGAGCAATTAGATAATTCCCCTTTTAAGCACTTAATTGTCCTCATTACAACAGGAAAAAACCTGGCTTCTCTCAGAGAAAAAGCGAGATCAGTCAGCACTGAGATCTCTTGGGGAGTCCCCTCACTTCAGCCACGTAATGGGCCCAGGCAGATACAGAGGGGAGGGGTCAAACCACAGACCCCCAAACCCATCACCTAAAAAATCTGCAGCCGGAGCCTCACACTGCCCCCCTCAAAGATGCAAGGCAGTCAGTGCATCACCCATGGGTGAGACATTTAAACAGGAGGCTCTCCCTGTCCTCTGGGGGTGTGACCCAGAGGGTAGAGGGGGCAGGTGGGCTCTGCAAAATCCTACTCTGGGGTCTGAAGACGAGATGTGCCAGCTGCCAGGAGCCTGGAGCACAGGGCAGGGCAGGCTGTCTCCCAGAGGGGCTGGCCTTCAGGAAACGCCCGCCTGCTCCTGGCAGCTGGCACACGTGGCCATCGACTGCCCTCAATAACCAGGAAGGGCAGAGGGGTCCCAGGCCTCCGCAGGGGTTTCATGCTGTGCCAGGCTCTGTTTGGTCAGACAGGGTGAGCCTCAGGTTAGAGAGGTGGGGACAGCCCGCCCTGGCCCCCTCGGGGATACTGGCGGTCTGGGGAAGGCAGATCTTGGGCTAGGGCTGTGCTGGCTCGGAGACTCAGGTCCAGATCAGCCAGGTCAGCAGCGGACACGGCAAGGCCCACGGCGTGCCAGGCACACGGAGGCGCCCTTTATGCGCGGAGACTGGCTTCACACTGTGTGGGGCCGGTGGCCGTGCTCGCGGCGGGCTCTCACCGTTGTGTGACATGCCCAGTGCCAGGCACTTCTGGAAGCGGCAGTACTGGCACTTGTTGCGGTTCTTCTTCTGAATCTTGCAGCTCCGCTCACACTTCTCGTATTCCAGCTTCATGCGGATCGTCCGCCGGAAGAAGCCCTAAGGATGGTGTACAGGGAGGAAAGGACACAGGGAAGGGAGAGAGCTGGGGAACCCTGGCCCATGGGGTGTACTGGGGCCCCAGTGTGC